TGCTGGGGGTTTTGAGTTTCTTTTTGAGGTCGCCATGGTACTGAATGCTGCAGTAAAAATGCGCGTAAGAATAACCTGCTTCTCAGGTGTACACGCAGACACCCCAGCTTTCTGCTGCGGTGTACGTGCTGCTGCTGGGCGCCTCCCACTGCTGCAGGAACCAACTCTTCCTTGCCGTTCATTTACCTCTGGCTGATGCTGCATCTACTGCTGCTGCTGCTGCTGCTGCGCTAGCTTTTGTTGTGTCTGGTTTGAAGCTGAAGAGCACTTGGGGAGACATGGGGATCGGATCCCCGCATCTGCTGCTGATGCGTTGCTGTGGCTGTTGCTGCTGCTGCTGCTGCTGCTGCTGCTGCGGGCTGCAGCTTGCGGACACGGCGCTGCTGGAGGAGCTTGCTGCTCACGTGCAGCGGCTGGTGCGGCGATCCCGGCTCCCCGTGAGGGACCTGGCCGTGGTGGCGCAGGGCTTTGCATGCGCCGCCTACACAGACTCAACGCTGTTTGCTACTTTAGCAGGTCAGCTGCAGCCCTAAACCCTAAACCCTAAGCCCCAAACCTGAAGTAGCGAGCAGAAAGCATACAGAGCAGAAACCTGCGCGCACGCGAAACCCGCCTCCACCCAGCACACAACACACGAGGCACTGCAACGGCCACAACATGAGACGCTGCAGCAGCAGACGCTGCAGCAGCAGAAACTGCAGCAGCAGGCGCTGCAGCAGCAGGCATGTTGTTTGTGTGTTTTTGTGTGTGTTTAGAAGAGGCGATGAATGGCCTGGGGGAAGCAACTATCCTCGATATGGCCCGTTTGCTGCAGGCCTTCGCCTCTGCTGCTGCGCAGCGGTGCCCTCATGAAATGCTTGCAGCAGCTGCTGCAGCAGCAGGAGGCGTGACGACGAACAGCAGCAGCAGCAGCAGCAGCATTAGCAGTAGCGACAGCAGCAGCAACAGCAGCAACAGCAGCGAGGAGGTTGCTTGTGCTGCTCCTCATAGACGTCTGTTCAATGCCTGTGTAGAGGCTGTCTCCGAGCGCATTGCCTTTGCCTCTCCTGCGGATCTGGCGGTTGCAGCACAGGCCTTTGGCTTGGCGCTGCTGCAGTCTCAAGGGACAGACGCAGAAGCTCTGCAGGCTGTCTTGCAGCATATCAGGTGACTGCCCCCCCCGCTGCACCGACCCCAGGCACAAGTGCAGCAGTTGTTAGGGCGAGGCCGTTCGCAGCTGGCAGCACAGTCTGTGCTGGGAGGCATATGGAGGTTGCTGCTCCCGCTGCTGTTGCTGTCGTTGCTGCTGTTGCTGCTGCTGCTGACATGTTTGTCGTTGTGTGTACCCGTCTGTGTTGTGTGTGGCCGGGGCATTCTAGGAATACGAAAGCTCAGCCTACACTTCACATATACTTTCTTGTTGAGGGTTCATAGTATCCTTTGGTTGATGGAAACAGTTTACTCTTTCTTTTTCTTTTGTCCCCTGTGCTGTCTGTGGCTGCACGGGGGGTTGCTGGGGTCTTCAAGGGGCGTTGCTGCCTCAGCGTCTCAGCAGAAAACCTCTTGGGGGGGGGCAGCGGTGGTTGTGGTTTGTTGCGTGTATTAGTTTAATTTGGTTATTTAATATTGTATTTCTGCATGCATTCCGCGGTGGCTGCA